TCACCCTCCACTTTCACCTCTCACCCCCACCCTTCCTATCTTCCACCTTCCAACCCCCTGTCACCTCCCCATCTTTCATCCCAACCTGACCCCCACTCTCTTTACTTTTGGATACTGGGGGTGATGCCTGGTGACCACAGGCCACACAGAGCTGAGTGTGCATTTCTGCCCTAGCCTAGTGAAAAGGCATATTATGATTAAGCTGCTATGAAAGCTTGGGGATCGCTACCTAAAAACAGTACACATTTTTAACAGTAACAGTTTGCAAAAATCAAATCAAAGAAGAAATTCCTTACCATGCATGATTCCAGAGGCTCCTGAGTGGCCTTGTTTTAGGAGTAGGAGATGTTGCTTTCATTTCTTTGTAAAACTCACCTCCCGCAGCTTCTCCCCCTGAAAACCTAGTCCCCCCCATGCTCTCAAGCTGAATATTCATTTATTATTTTTGTTTTTAAATAGACTTTATTTGATATTATTTAGTAAATACTGTAAAGAACTGACATCTTGACAATATTGAGTATTCCTATCTATAAACATGAAATACCACTTTATTTATTTAGTTCTTCTTTGATTTCTTTTACAGGACTTTTGTAGTTTTCATCATATAGATATTGTAGGTATTTTGTTAGATTTATACCAAAGTATTTCATTTTCAGGGTTGCTAATGTAATGGTATTGCATTTTAAATTTCAAATTCCATGTGTTCATTGCTGATATATAGGAAAGCAATTGACTTTTGTATATTTACCTTATATCCTGCAGCCTTACTATAATCACAATTAGTTCAAGGAGATTTTTTGTTGATTCTTTCAGATTTTCTTCTAGACAATCATGCCATCGGTGAACAAAGGCAGTTTCATTTCTTCCTTCCCAATCAGTATATCTTTTATTCCCTTTCTGTCTTACTGCCTCAGGTTTCGACACTGGGGCTGATGCCTGCTGACCACAAGCCACACAGAGTCAAGTGTGCACTTCTTCCCTAGCCTAGAGAAGAGGCATATTTTAATTAAGCTGCTGTGAATTTGGGGGACCGCTACCTAAAACTGGTAGCACATTTTTAGCAATAATGGTTTACAAAAATGAAATTAAAAAAAAGAAATTCTGTAGTTTTTCATTGGAATACTAGAATTTCTAGTACAATATTGAATTGGAGTGGTGAGAAGGAACATCCTTATCTTGTTCTTGATCTTTGAGTGTCTAGCCATCAGATATAATGTTAACTGTAGGGTTTTTCAGTAGATTTTTTTCTTTTCTTTTCTTTTTTTTTTTTTTTTTTTGAGACAGAGTCAAAAGGCTGGAGGGCAGTGGCAAAATCTCGGCTCACTTCAGCCTCCATCTCCTGGGTTCAAGCTGTTCTCCTGCCTCAGTCTCCCCAGTAGGTGGGATTACAGGTACTCACCATGACTTCCAGCTAATTTTTGAACTTTTTTTTTTTAGTGGAGATGGGTTTCACTGTGTCAGCCAGGCTGATCTTGAACTCTTGACCTCAAATGATCAGCTTTCTCAGCCTTCCGAAGTGCTGGGATTACAGGCATAAGCCACCATGCCCAGCCCGTAGATACTCTTTATCAAGTTGAGGAATTTCCTTTCCTACTTTATCAAGAGATTTTTTTGTTTTGTTTTTTTAAAAAGACCTTTTTTAAAATAAATTAAAAAAAAACAACTCTTGTTAAGAGGTGTTGGATTTTGTCAAATGCTTTGTGTCTATTGATATTATTATGTGATTTTTCATCTTTAACATGATGGATAAAATTGATTTCTGAATATTGAACCAACTTTGCATACCTGAAATAAATTCCACTTGGTTGTGGTGTATACTTCTTTTTATACATTGTTGGGTTCAATTTGCTAATATTTGTTGAGCATTTGTGCATCTCTGTTTATGAGAGATATTGGGCTATAGTCTTCTTTTAATGTCTTTGTCTGGATTTGGTATTAAGGTATTGTTGGCTTTACAGCATGAGGAAGTATGTTCTCCGAATCTGTCTTCTAAGAAAGATTGTAGGGAACTGGAATAAATTCTTCCTTAAATGCTTGTTGGAATTCACTGGTGAACACATCTGGGCTTTGTGCTTTCTCTTTTGGAAGGTTATTAATTATTGGTTCAATTTCTTTAACAGACATAGGCCTATTCCAATTGTTTATTTCTTCTTGTGTGAGTTTTGGCAGATTGTGTCTTTCAAGAAATTTTTAATTTAGATTATCACATTTATATAGAGTCATTCCTAATACAGGTGCTTCTCAAGTTGGGATGGGCTTACATCCCAATAAACATATCATATGTTGGGAATATTGTAAACCAAATGCAAATAAGACCCTGATAAACCTGTCATAAAGTTGAATTCCATTATTTCTGTATTTTTTATTGTCTTTTTTAACGTTCATGGGATCTGCTATGGTACCTCCTTTTTTCTTTCTTATACTGACAGTTTGAGTCTTATCTTTTTTCTCTTAGCCTGGCTATAGGCTTATCAATTTTATCGATATTTTCAAAGAACTAGCTTTTGGTTTCATTCATTTTTTTCCACTGATTTCCTGTTTTCAATTTGATTGACTTTTGCCCTAATTTTTATCATTATTTCTTTCCTCCCGCTTACTTCAGATTGATTTGTTCTTGTTTTTCCAGTTTCCTGAGGTGGAAGCTTAGATGATTAATTTTAGACTTTCTTAATTCCTAGTATGTGCACAGTTCAGCCTCTTTGCCTGACTAGAAGGAAGGCTTTCATCTGGATTTTTATTTCTCCGTTACTACGCACAACCTCCCCGGGCTGTCTGGGGTTAACATTCTATGTGTCTTAATGCAGGTGTGTCTGGAGTCTAGGTTTGTCCTGGCTGCCTAGTAGTTTTAATCAGCCGTCGGCATTTCTAGTGCATAACAGGTAGGTCCACACAAACAGTGCTGTTGTCTCTAAGTTCTTTGGGCAGGAGCCAGACTTGAGTATTTACGTCAATGAAGTGAACTAGGCAGTAAATTCATAGATGTGTGTTCATGTTGGCCAGCCTATATACTGAAATATGCTAATAACTGGTGGTTCTCAGCTTTGGCAGCATGTTGGAAGCATTGGAGGAGCCTAAGACACCTGGTGCCCAGGCCCCACCCAGAGCTCCTTATGAAATTGGCCTGGGGCCTGGGCTGTGCCTACTCAAAGGTCCTCAGGAGGTTTGGAGGTGAGAACAGGTTGAGACTATTGTCTCAGATGCTTCCCTGCCCTAAACCGGTCTTCACCTAGTCTAGTTCGCCCAGAACTTACATGCGTGCCAGTCGTTAAGGAATGAGAGTAAGGAGTCAGCATTAAGGCAACACCCCAACATTACTGGTCTCAAGCTGAGTTTCTTGATGTCTCCAGCTTCCAAATAAGTATGCTGCTTGAGTTACTCAGGGGGTCTTTCTGGGGTAGGAGTGCTGAGGAACCCTAAGAGAATTAAACAACCTCAGTGAAAAGATGCTGGAAAGTCTTGCAAAAAGCTTCCTTTCTAAACTTGCCCAACAGGTTACACCCTTAGTGAGGCTTAGTGACCAAGGATCGGGAGACTCTCTGGTCCAGAGATCTCTGCTCCCTCTGGTGCTTACAGAGATGGTGGGAAGGGTTCCTGCAGGAGGAAAACATTCTAACTTCAAAGTTTTTCTGTTTCTTCAGCTGCGAATGGGTAGAGCCATGAGCACACGGTGTGAGCTTCTCAAAGCACCTTGGGTAGGGATTTCCAATACGCACACCTGAAGTATAGATTGGGGTGGGGTGGGAATGGGGGTTGAAAGTCCAGAGATTGATGTTTCTTTGGTAGGTTGATGGAGCGGGAGAATAAAGAGTAGCCACATTAGTGGAGGCAGAAGTTACAATAAAAATTTGGGGAAAAGAGAATATTGGGGAAAACAGTGAGGAGGATGAACATTGCCTCGGGAGTCCCTGCAGGAGGGTAAGGAGAGCAGGCTGTCCCATGAGAGGATGGGCTCCTGGAAACATTTGCACACACTGATGGAGAGGGGACCCCCACTAAGGCTGGAGAGTGAATTCCAGCCAGGAATTCCGCTGACCCTCAAGCATAGCCTTGATGGTGGCCTGTGAGGGTGAGTGGACCTAGCCAAGGTGTCTGCTCCCTGCCCCCATCTCCCACTTCTCCAGGGTGCAAATCGCAGGGGATTGTGTCCCAAACTCCTCGAAAGACTGCTCCTGACAGGCCCCACCCCACCTTTTTCAAGTGTGAGCTTTATCTGTGAATGTGCCGGCTCAGGATGGACATGGCTGATGGACCTCAGGGACCACGTGCAGGCCAGCAAGCAAGGCAGGGTGTTCAATCTGCTCTCCCCTCTGACCCCGGCATTCATTTATTCAGGAAAGGTTTATGGGCAGGCTGTAGCACTGAAAGCCCAGGAACATGGAGCCTGTACCTCTGACCCTGCCTGGCTCACCCTCCGGTGGGGGACTGCAGGGGCAACAGGGACTCCTCTGGGGAACTATGGGGCTTGTCCCTCATGGGTGCCCAGGATGCTTAGGGAGGAAGGAAGGCTGCCTGGAGGTGTTGGCATCGAGATGGGCCCAGGCTCACATGGAAGAAACACATTCTGGGCTGGGACAATGCTATGCAAAGGCCTGGAGGTGGGACGGGCATGGGAGCCAGCAGATCCCAGTGTAGGGCTACCCTGAGAGGGCCAGGTGGGGAGCAGGAGAGAGAAGTGAGGTGGCCCTGGTGGTGAAGGTTGGGGAGGCCATGCCTATGGGACAGTGGGCTAAGACATTCCAGAGCTCAGTCCCAGAGGCCTGGGCTTATGGTTACTGAAAGGTGTTTAAGTGGTTTGGAGGTGAGCTCAGCCAATGAAATGGACTGGCCATTGCTAGTGACCAGGGTCTTTGCAGACAGCATCTCTAAAGTGGGGGAAGCCCCTTGTCCCCTCCCCCTCTCCTTCTGGGCCAGTTCCGATGGTGTAGCTGATTCTGAGCAAAGCGTGTTCTGTTTTTGCTGCCTGTGGGATATGCTTAACCTTTCCTTTGCTTCCTTCATAGATCCGGACAAAGGACAGAGTCTTTGACAGTATCAGCCACCTCATCAACCACCACCTAGAGAGTAGCCTGCCCATCGTCTCTGCAGGGAGCGAGCTGTGCCTCCAGCAGCCAGTGGAGAGGAAGCAGTGACCTGGCCAGTGCTGCTCCCAGCACTGTGCACCAGGTCAGGAGGACCCGGAGTGGGCTGCAGTAGGGGCTGTAGGAACTGGGGCAGCTGCCTGTGGCTCAGAGTCTTCTTCAACAGCTCCAGAAGGAAGGCTGCTTCTAAGGTCAAGTTTCATAAACTTGGTTCTGAATTTCTCATATGCATATTAAAGGTGTACATACCTATACATCCTGTACAAATTATCCCTCTATATTTATATTTTTTAAGACTAAGAAAGATGTAAGACTAACATTCTGTGCTGTATGTTTTTAATGGAAAAAAGTTTGACTGTAGTTGTCCAGGCAAAAATTTAATTCAACTGACCCATTCTGCTGGGAAATGCCACTAGAAAGGTGTAGCCTGCAGTTTTACCTAATAAGCACAATTGGAGGGGACTAGAAACGCAGAATTGTGATGGAATCGCAAGGCGTGCTGCCCAGAGTGTGCCTAGTCCTGCACTGAGAGCTATGAGACACTGGTTCCGAGGCATGGCTGTGCTTGCTGGAGGGAGTGGGCATCCTCCCTTGGCCTCCCTGGGACACCTCCTTTGCTCCCTGCACTGCATGCCACAGACGACTCACTGCAGCTTCACTAAAGAGCAGGTGGTACTCCGGCTCCTCTGGGTCCTGCTGAGCACAGGACCTTGTCACCCTTGATCCCAGTTATGTGAGGAGTACTTGGGAATTCATTTCATGCCATTTTTGAATGGCACAAAAAAAGCCTCCCCAATCAAAATCTTGATTGACAGATGCTTCCCTGTTCTCGTGCATGTAATGCTAAAATGGATATTTGTAGAAGGGGCGGTTGGGGCGAACTCCTGGTCTGTGTCTCCTAGTCAGTGGTTGACTGTAGGCTGCTTGGGGTAGTTGCAAGCAAAGTTCCCCTCCTGCCTTGTATTCAACAGGGGAGAAGCCTGTGTGAGAGCAAGAGTAGGTCCCATTCCAGAGCTCAGTCCCGGAGACTCAGGCACTGAGGCCCCCAGGCTGTGTGTGCCAGAGGCCTGACCCAGCCCCAGGAGTCACTGGAATCCATTTGCCATTCTGCCTCTGGAGAGAGGGATGGGGGAAAAGCCTGCTGCCCCTACAACAAGGTTTCCCAGTCATGCAGGGAAGGGCGTGCGCCCCACCCCACTCTTTGTCTTGATTCCCTTCCTTCCAGGTAAAATATGGTCATTTCCTGAGAAGTCATTTGGTGTTAGAAAGCTGGCAATGTTTATAGCTTTGAAATACTATCTGGGCTGAGACCGCCCTGTGATTTTGACAGACAGCCTTTAAAAAACAGTTGGATCTGTTTGCTCGATGGTAGCTTGGCTCTCTTTCTGGTGAGACCCCACAGGGTATAGCACCCTGTACGGTAAGGGTCAGTGCAACAGAAAGACAGCCTGAACACACTTAGAGTTGGATAGTGATAGATCTGATCCCGTAAGGAGAGTTACGAGGAGACTGAACAGTCTGGCAGAGAACAATACTGCTAAGTTCTAATGCCCACGGCGTGAGCCCCGTTTCTGCCCTGGGGTGTGTGTAGCCAGATGGAAGGACCCGTTAGAGCTAACCAGTGAGGATGAGTCGGGGCAGGCCCAAGCCTTCGCTGGGGGTTTTGCCCTTTGAGGGTCTATGAATTAGAGATGACAGTGAAGTCAATGTTCTAGAAGGTTCTGCAGTGGATTGAAACTCTGGAGAGTCAGTCCGACACTAATCTAGACTGCCCTGCTGCTTCCTGAAATGGTTTTGGCTTCAGGCATCATGTAAATGTTCTGCTCAGTGATTCAGAAACAGAGGGCTGCAGGGGGTGCCGGCAGCAGCTGCATCAGCCTCCTGCCCCAAGACGGCGCAGAGTTGGGTGCTCTGAGAGCTGCCCTGCACATCTGTCCTCGGAAGGCCTGGAGCCCTGGAGAGATGCATGCAGCTCTGACCCACCTGTGCGTGAATGTGCACCACTGGAAAATGTGCAAAATGACCTTCTTTTAACATTCGTGCATTCCCCTCTTGTGAAAGGTCAAAATGCTATTATAACGTTCAGGGAGAATAGCAAAACAGGAAATGCGAGTTAGGAGCCGTGAATGCTGTGGCACTTGATTTACTTGATTTTTCTCTTGGGGGGACTTGAATGATAATCTGCAGCTTTAGTAGCTCTTGCTGTGAAGTCAGTGTCTGGTTCAATGGTGACAGAAAACATATATTTTTTTTTTGCATGAGAATCAATTTAGAAAATAAAAAGTATTGGAGTCAAATTTTTTCTTTTTAATATTAATTCAAAATATATATTTTTAACCTTGGATTATAAGGTTGATCACACTAGAATAGTGCCAGTGAGGCGAACAGGTTCAGACATCGCAGATGGCAGCGATTTTCTAATCTTTGTTCCCTTCCATTTGGAAAGTGTGTTAGAGCACACATTAGTTATCCCGACTCTTCCCTCCAGCACCGTGTGCTGGGCCATTCCTGTGAGCCTCATTGACACATGGGGAAACTGAGGCAGGGGCTGGTGCTGCACCTTGCTGGAGGCCATGTTGTCATCTGGCTGCAGCGCTCTTCTGCTCACTCAGCGTTTCCTGAGCCTGCTGCGTGCCAGCCTGTGCTTTGAGGTCAGGATTCCAAGGCAAAGGCAATGGAGCCTCCTTGTTGCCTAGCCTGCGCCCCTTTTCCCCCTGCTTTCTCAGACTACATCTCTGCCTGGGCAAGGCAGGAAGCTGAACAATGAATGCAGGGGGAGCGGCACTACGCCTTGCCTTCCAGGGCCTCAGGCTTCCAGGACACAGTCGCTGCTGCTGTGCTGGGCCACCCTGAGCCTGCAGAGTGCACCTGGGCCCTGTTGCCCTCCCAATGGGTACCAACACTTAACCCAGAATTCTGTGTCTTCTGGGAGTTACAAGATAGGGGCCAGCAGTCCTAAATGGCTCCTCTGCCCTTACAGAGTGGCCTTGGAGACCCCCACCCAGCTTTCCTCTCCCTATGAATGAATCAGCTGTGCTTCAAATGACATCTCTGTCCAGCAGAGGCCAGCTGGGCCTCTCATGGGGGTACTCACTGTGGTTGAAGTCAGCTTCAATTCTTGACCCTCCAAGGTAGCCTCTGAGTAGCTCACTGGAGAATCGGGTGGGCAGGTGATAAACACCACAGTCAAATGACTCAATCTTAAATCCCGTGCTTAAGACACCACTGTTGCTGCTTTTATATTTGAGGGGTCTAAAGACTGGGTGTCCACTCAGCCTTGATGAGCGGGTGGCTATTTTCTCAAGCCATCTCTAACGTTGGGGTAATGGACAAAGGCCTGACTGGGCCACATATGGCTTTTTTAGTGCTTCCTGGAGGTGGAGGCGCTCTGAGTAATTTCTAATGAAGACAGAAAATGACAAGCCATGTATGTATGTAAAGGCCTAACTTAGAAGGAAAGACAGGCCCAGGGGAGCATGGACCCTAAACGGTCCATGTGCTGGGGGCACAGTGGACATGTGTGTCCAGCCCAGCCTCTATGCCTGGTGCTGGCATTCTGAGGATGGCCCCCAGCTCCCGAAGTAAAGCTTTCCTTTTCAGTGACATCCGACATGTGGCTAGCTTCTTTCTATAAGCAGAGCTTTAAGATGGACATCTGGGTCCTCATTTCCTCCCTATTGGCCGCCACCTGAAGGCAGTCACACATGTCCTTTCTGTTGGGCTGAGCTGGGCAGAAGCCTCAGACTGTAGGCCTTCCCAGAACAGGGGCAGCGCTGGCCACGAGTAATACCTCCCTCCAGCCTCCACCCTGGCACACCCAGATGGCATGGACTCTGAGCCTTGGCATGCTCTACACCACAGGGCTACACATGTTCCCAGCTTGAGAGAGTGCTGGGGATTGACAAGTATATGAAACATATAAAGCGCAATGACTTTCTAAAATTCTGCGTTCCCAACGTGCCCCTCGGTTCTCTCTCACTGGTTCAGGTTTGTGTGCCGTCCATAAATCCCTTTCTGTGGATGGTGACAATAGGATTGGGGGTGGGTGGGAGGATGGTGGAAAGACTGGGAAGAGGTCATCGCAGGACCCAGACAGGCCTTCGCAGTGGGTTTCAGAGTAACACTCAGGTTCTCTGGTGGAACTTTCAAAGCTGGCTCCAAGAAAGACCAAGTAGATAAACCCACTCTTGGACATAGTGCCAACCTAGAACTGTCAGCTCCTAGAGCTGTCCTGCGGAGGCCGGCCGGGCGTCTCATGGTGGTGCTCATTGTGGTTGAAGTCAGCTTTGATTCTTGACCCTAACTCAGGATCACAGGGAAGGGAGCTTGGCAAGACAGCACAGCTGGGGCCCCACTTTTCAGATGAAACTGGAGCCATGTAAGGGGCTGGGGATCGACTTAGGAAAGAGCACAGCACTCACAGCGTCCTGGGCCTGCACGTAAAGCTTGCCCCCCATGGAAACGACAAGGAGTGCTTCCCGCCCCAGGTTCTACCTCTGTGCTCCCTCTAAAAATGCGTGAAAGCCTGAGTTATTCAGATGCGAGAGGCAGTGTTTCTGTTTCCTCTTTCTTAGTTGGTCTCCTTAGAAGGAGACCCTGAGAGAGGACTTGAGGGTCATGTAGTTTATTTGAGTGAAGATCCCAGGAGTAGGGAGAGAAGGAAGCTGACGAGGAAGGCGTACATTATCAAGTAAGTTACTGTGATGTGTCGTGTGCACAGCCGAATCCCACTGGGAAACCCCGAGAGACAGAGCTGACACCCCAGAGTTAATCCAGCAAAATGGGGAGACAGCTGGGGTATTTATTCACCAAGTCTATCACTGATGGAAGGCTGTTTCAGAAACAATGTCTGACTGGCCCTGCACACACCTAAGCATACTTCCCAAGCCGGGGAAGTCCTCGGGCTGAGAGACAGGCATGCATGACAAGCAGACCTGGAGTGGAAGGCAGGCATCAGAACTAGCTCGTGAGCTGGTTCAGACACAGACTGCAAGCCTGCTACCCCCTGCTATCCCCCACCCCCCAAATCCCTCAGCCCCCAACCCCCTCCCTGCCCTTGCCCCCACCAAGTTCCTGACACCCTAGGTCTGGAGTGGGGCCCGAGAATTTGCATTTCAAAAAAACATCTCAAAGTGATGCTGGTGCAGCTGCTCTGAAGTCTTGACTTTGAGAACCACTCACTGGTGAGAGTTTCCAGCCCTTACCTGTCTCTTATTGATGGTTCCCCCCTCTAATTTATAATTATGTTTTCACACCACTTCATGTCACAGATCCCATGGTCCGTGCTGTGAATTTAGAAGTGGAGAATTAATAAGCATTTATAACTCCATGCAACCATTGCTGGCAGCTTAAATGCCATCTGCCAGCCACAATTTATTTATAATGGGGTTTATACATATTTATAAGTTTGCAAGCAACAAATGCACAGTTTTTAAACTGGCACATTTTATAGCAGCCAGAAAAATTGCAACTTTATACCAAGACTTGTGAATGTGAATTGCATATGTATATACATACATGCATATACTTACATTGATTAAAAACAGATCTGCAGCTCTGTGTACACACGTGGGTTGGCTCTGTGCTGTGCACCTTGGGACTCCTCCCTGGGCTTTGGTTTTATAACTAACAAGGACAACCAGGAAGTCAAACAAACGTGAAGAATTTGGGAATTGGCAGATTGTGGCATTGGCCATGGAGGATGGTCTTGGATGCTGCCGGATGTGGGACCCAGTACAAAGGGAACAGGAACAGGACATGAGGACAGGGGTTGGGGGAGCCCATTGTGGGAAATGACAGAGAAGCCAGCAGGGGAAGATAAGGAAAGAAGAAGGTGGAGGCAGGATAAATGTGACAAGGGAAGGGGAGGATAAAACAAGTCTAGATTTAGATCTTTGTTCATGCAGCCATGCACAGGCATGAGGCCAATGGGGAAGGAGCAGAAAGGGAAGGTGTGGTGGAGGAAGCTGTGCTTGTGATGTCATGTTTTGGTGTATTCCCAGGTGCAGCTGCATATACTTGGCACAGTCTCTTGGCATTTCTAGCCAGCTTCTTGGCCTCATTCATGCATTAGTTAATATGTGGCTGGCCCTGTACTGGGATTGAGAGATAGAGAAGCAAATACAACTCTGCCTGAGTTTATAACCTAGAAAGAAATAAAGACACACACATATACACACACAAAGATGTTGAATTGTTAAAAGCCTTAGGTACTAGTGTGTCCAGGTTCACTAGAACCAGCAAGGGCAGAGCGCCCAGGTCAGTTTGGGGACTCTGGAGGCTTTGCACTGAAGGCAACTGAGTGTTAGTGGCATGGAGGAGAGCGTGGAAGGCTCTGGATGGGGAGGGACAGCCTGGAGGCACCACTCTCAGTAGAGATGCTAGAAGAGGCGGGAGGCAATCCCAGCCTCCCTTCTTTCCTCCCCCTGGCTGTCACAGATGCTCTGAATAGATGAATCCCTCAGGCCCGAAACACACAGGCTCCTTCCCTAGGGCTAGAAAAATGGTTCTTGCTGAAAAGCACCAGGAATAAAATCTCATACAATTTTAAGTGTCTATTTTTTTGTCTCACCTTGAAATACTGCAGACAGAAAAATACACACATGGGGAAGGAATGCTGCGGTCCTGAGCTTTGAGGTAATGAATTTGCACTCACGTGGACATTTTTACCATAACCAAAGTTTCTAACCACCAAATCAAGTGACAATTAAAACAGACATTAATAGGTAAATCCGTCTTTAAATATTAACGGGGTTTTTTTTTTAATAACTATGTGTTGGTTGCAAGTGGATTGTTCTCTGTTCATTTGACTTTTGGATATAACTTGTTCCAGAATATTGTAAAATTAAGTATGTGAATGTTTCTTTGTATTCAGAATTAAACATTTGGTGTTAAAATCCCAGGATTAGGAGACAACTCCATGTAAATTTAATGTGTAATAATAAGATAGTTACTTTTTAAAAAGCATTTGGATGGCAAATTATACATATTGACAGATGAGTATTATTTGAAAATTGTTTTGTTTTCATTAACTTTTGTGAAGCAAAAAGAATGACTGTAATGGTCTGCGTCTTGGCATGTTGCCAATTCACCACTTTCTACTTTGTGCTGAAACAGAACTGGCTTTTTGGACATCCCTGAGGAGTGGAAATGCAAAACGAATTTCAAGTTCTCTAATCTTTGTTCTACAACAAATGGTAAAACCTAAGTTATCTGGTCAATCTTTTGGAGATTTGACAACACAGCAGGTGAAGAGAATTAGCTTCAATTCCCTCCTTACTGTCAATGGATCCACGGGGATTCCTTCACTCTGTCAGGAAATGGTTTCCAAGTGTGAGCTCTTCATGATCTGTCTGGTGCATCTCTGTGCTCCTGGGATCGCCAAGTGCAGGCACGGCATCACATCCCCAAGTGTCATCCTGTGACCCAGGAGGGGAAGATGACACACCCAGTTTAGGTAATGCCGCACTTCTTGTTATAATTGGTTATTGGAAAATGTGCCTTTATTATCAGAACAGTGGTGTGTGCATTTCTGATTATGTAGCTAACCTTTGGATATCTGACTTACATACTAAAAACATTTGGATGTTGCAGTTTTGCACTTGTAGATACAATTTAAAAGCATGAAATTGGTGATTTAATTAGATGTTTTCTATAAAATGCACCGTGTTACATTTCTGTGAAAGGCTCTTACCAGCGTGGAATAACTGGCTCAAGGGTTGACGGTAACAACCATTTTCTAAACAGTTGATTGTTTAAAGGACTGTACACGTAAGTCTGGGAAATAAAGGCTATTGTGAAAAGTCTCTTTCATTTGGACAATGGATTTGTATTGCCTCACAAAAGAGAGAAGGGGAGCTTGAAACTTTTATCTAAGAAGTAGGTATTTTCAGTGGCTCCCTGGGAGACTTCTTAAAAAACAGTCACAACAAAGCATTGTCCCATCCATCAAGGCTGTGGAATAAAAATGCATCCCAGCAGATGTATTTCTAGAGGACTCGTGTTACCTTCTAGCACCTTGTCAGCCTTGGACAGAACCGGGGGTGGGCAGCTACATCCTCACTTGTGTTGGGGCATTTCATTGTGAGTTGTAACAAGCATCGCCACCAGAACAGTTATGCCAAGCACTGGCCTCCTCTTTACAGAGGACGCAGGACAGAGGCTGAAATGGACCGTGTGTACGGGAGAAAGCTAGTGTACAGGGGTTGGCTCTGACCTGTTTTCTCCTGCTGCGTGAACTACAGCAAATAGGGCCGGACCAGAGGTCCCATGTCCTTGAGCTGTGCTTTTATCACAATAGGTTTTACGAATTTCTCCCTATCAAAAGAGCCATCCTCAAAACACTATGACTGACCTACCAAAATTGGTGTAAATAGTACCCAATGCACTGAAGCTTCACTAAAATGCCACCTGTGATAGTGGGGAAGAAGAAAGAGGGAAGGTTCTTCCAGGTTCTGAATGTGGTTTAATTCCTGAAATGCTGAGCAGCACAGGTGAGAAGCAAGCCTGCAGCACTGCACATCGCTGCAGTGGGGAGGGTGTCTGGTGAAACAACAAAATAATCCCGTCACACGGACTCCCAAGAGCAGGTTTACACAAAGCCTTTTGGTTTTATTTTTTAACAAACATACACTGGAAATAATAAAGGTTTCTAACGGAAAAGAGATCGAATGCATAGTTTCTCCGCAGCATAGAAGACCACCTGCTTCCGAACTCCAGTGTTAGGGCTTTGAAACAGTCAGCTGCTAAATTACCTCCAGCTGGCTAGCTAGTTAGGCATATTGGTGCATATTGGTATCAAAGGTGATTATTTCTTGCATTTAGCAAATGAGCACAATTACTTTTTTGGTGTATTTTTAATTCAGATTGCTCAAAAATTTTGTTATTTCAAGGGGGCTTCATGTCACACCACAAACATTGATACTCCAAGTGAGAATGATGGCTGCAGGCTCCCTAGTAGAGTTGATGGATGAAGGCTGAGATACTTAAATATTAGGGATGTCAGGATTATGGAACAAAGTGTTACGAACAGTAGTTACAGAGAGCTCCACGGCTCCCAAAGCAACTCACAACTGTGACATAAAGTTCTAAAGTCATTTCATTACTTATGTGAAAATGCAATACGAAATTTTGGCTCTCTGATACATTTTGTTGTTGTTTTATTTTATTTATTATTATTATTTTTTGAGACAGAGTCTCATTCTGTTGCCCAGGCTGGAGTGCAGTGGTGCAGTCTTGGCTCACTGCCACCTCTGCCTCCTGGGTTCAAGCAATTCTCCAGCCTCAGCCTCCTGGGACTACAGGTGTGTGCCACTGCGTCTGGCTAATTTTTGTATTTTTAGTAGAGACAGGGTTTCACCATGTTGGCCAGGCTGCTCACGAACTCATGAGTTCAGATGATCCACCTGCCTTGGCCTCCCAAAGTGCTGGGATTAAAGGCATGAGCCATCGCAACTGGACTATTGTCATTTCCTTAATTCAGAACTTTAATGTTTTACTTTCCTAGAAATGCCCTGGGTTTTCTCATGCTATTTGATAAGAGAATAAGCTACTTTTCAGTGATGTCAAGAAGGCATCAGAAATGCTCCTGGGGAAGATCTCTTTACAGATAGGTTTCATCTCATCAGTAACAAAACTTAGAAAAGTCTTTGGTCAGTCCATGGAGGTGAGTTACCCTGAACCCAAGAAAATGTCTCTTTACAAGAGCAATTTGCATCAGATGGTGAACAGGAATCAATTTCTCTTAGAAAAAAATTATTAATGCATTAAGACCACTCTTTTCAGTTTGATTCAGGCAAATGCTCACCGAACCTAAATAAAACACTTTAGGCGACTCGGATGTGAGTTTCTTTTGAGGGCTGGTTGGTTTTGTCCTTGTTTTTACAGAGAACTCAACAAGGCAACTGTGCGCTTATGATAGTTCTACAAACCTGTTCACTTTTCTTTCCATTTATTTGTTTAACACTTACAATCCTTGGGGAAGAGGATGTACAAAAATGTCTTTAAGTAATCCCTTTACAAGGTAAACAGACTGCTACGGGTTCAACTTACGTAGAAAAGTAAAACTACAGTATCATGTAGTTATTATCACATCACTCTGAAGAATGCATAAACTGCCAGATCACATTTTCTAACCTGACAATTAAACTTCTTTCACTGATGGTCATGATCAGTGCCAGCTTTCAGGAAGCTGTGAAACTACCGGTGGCCACAGCTACTCCGCTGCGACGCCACAGGGGATTACTGACTTGGTGCTTTTCTTATGTAGAAACAAACTCAACATGGAATTAAAGTGCTGTCTTGTGAATCTCTGCTCATTTCCTGGACACCTTCTGTTTCCTGAAGCAGACCCCTGCCCGGGTGGCGTGGGAAGGTGGGCCAGACCAGCTATCTGCTTCTGCTGCGCCCTCTTGGGCTCTTTCTTTGGCCTGTCTGGGGGCACACGCTCCTGGGTGATCTTGGCTGGCTTTTCTGTGATTTGCAGAAACCTGAAAACCATCACATAATTTTGCTTTGGGATATGATTAAAATTACTCAGGGACAAATGACTGAAGGGACACAAGGCTGGTGTGGTCAGACCCACACACCTGGGGCCAGCCTTGGACAAGCCCTTTTTTGGGAATTTGGACTTTAAAAGCTTGATTAACATGAGACTCCATGTCAGTCTAAGGAGACCAGGGATGGCATGTCCACTTAGTTCACAACCATGCCCTTGTACCAGGGGTTCAGTCCAAATCCATCTGTATAACCTGTTACCTGTGTGTTGTAGGTATCACATGGCAAACACCTGGAACACAAATTCTGCGTAACAGAGAGAGGTACAAATATACAAGCATCCATTCTATGCACAGGACATGTAGTGTAAAATCATCAAAACACCATTCAGAGGCACACAGGGAATCACACAGCATTGTGTAGCCCATGACCTTCCCTCTCTGTGAACACCAGGGAGGGTGTCAAGGATTCAGCAGGAGGCTGTGGATGGTGTCAGCAGCTTAGTACATCTGAAAGACTCTGGAGCCCAGAGTGGACAAGGCACGTTGTCTACACTGAAATGGGGTGGTGATTCCTCGGGCCTCCTCTGTAAGAGACATCCACACTGAGCAGGCTGTTGGTCAAAGTAAGGTAGCTCTCCCGAGTCACAGTCTCGAGGGGCCCCTGTGGAAGCGATGCATGCAATAAATAAGAACACAGCTGCAGAGCAGGGCGCATGGAGACGTTCACTTGCAGAGGATCCCGTTCTGAAGTGCTGCGTTCTTGTCCATGATGCAGGATGAGGGGGCTATGTGGGGGAGGTCTTCCTTGACCTTCGGGGAGTGGGTGCTGTTGTTGCTGCTGCTCGATTTACTTCTGCTTGGGTCAAGTGCCGGCTGGATGGGTGAGGCGCGGGCCCCCTGTCCCCTGACCAGGCAGTTGCAGATCAATCGGAAGAAGGCCCGCCGCATCTCCTTGCTGGCCAGCGTGTAGATGACCGGGTTCATGGCCGAGTTGAGTACAGCCAGCACGATGAACCACTGGGCCTTGAAGAGGACTGGGCACGCCTGCACCCTGCAGGCCACGTCAATGAGGAAGAGGATGAAGAGCGGGGACCAGCAGGCGATGAACACGCTTACCACAATCACCACGGTCCGCAGCAGCGCCATGGACCGCTCCGAGTTCCTGTGGTTGGCTACCTTACGGCTGCTGGACTTCACCAGGAAGTAGATGCGTGCGTAGAGGATCACAATGGTCACCAGGATGGCCGTGAAGATGCTGATGCAGAAGGCGATGTACTTCTTGGAGTAGAGGGGCAGGATGGTAGAGCAGTCGGGGAGGTTGTGCAGGCAGTTCCAGCCCAGAATGGGCAGGGAGCCCAGAGTGAAGGCAATAAGCCAGCACATCCCGATCAGGAGGAAGACGCGGTGCTTCTTGTTGGCGTCGTAAGGCCTCATCTTGATCATGGTCAAGTGCCGCTCGATGGCGATGGCCAGTAAGCTGCAGGTGGACGCCCCGAGGGCCACGAACATACTGCCCTCCCTGAGGAACCAGACCGTGGGAGACAAGCTGAACGTCCTCTTGCCAGACATCAGGATGTTGACCTTGTAAGCGATGCCGGCCAGCAAGTCGCAGAGAGCCAGGTTGCCGATGAAAAAGTACATGCGGTTGTGAAATTTATTGTTTTTCCAAATGGCAATCAAAACCATCAAGTTCTCCAAGACGATGAAGCTGCAGATGACCAAGAAGAGCACGGTGGTGAGCATGCTGCCCTCGGAGGCTTCCTTCAGCCTCCCTGCCAGTTTCCCCACGTACTGATAATGTTCCTGCAGGGTCTCGTTCCCCCTCGCGGACTGGGGGCGTGGCGAGAGGGCAGTAGCCATCACTCGGCATTCACAGACGATTAGCTCCAAAATCCAGGAGAGGGCGCCCGAGGAACATTCATTTCAAAGGGAAGCAGGGCCGAGGCTCCAGCTTCATTCAGCAAGGCGTGCAGGCCAGACTCCAGCAAGGGCTCCTGCCAACAGATAAAAAGAGGGAGCGACCATTGATAAAATGATCGCAGCCCAAGGGGCTACGGCAACACTGTTCGAGAAAGGCATGAAAAACGTGGAAGTACCGGGATGACTGGCCACATCAGGCTGCAGAGAGGGTCTTTAGACACAGGCTAAGTTCCTAAGTTATTGAGGGAGACCATGGGAAGCGATTTGGTGTCTGGAGTTGCTGGGAAGGGAAATTCAGTGCATGAATTATTGAATCCTGTAACAAAGATACACAGACCCAAAAACGGCTTCCATCTGGAAATCTCCAAGCACTAGAAAATGCTAACTAG